TGCGCGGCAGCAGCATCGGCAGGAGCGACGACGGCAGCTCCGTCTTGCTCGCCCATCCGTCTCGGTCCCTCTGCTCCGTGCGGGGTGCGCGAGGGCGCGCGGCGGGGGTGGGAGAGGCAGACGAGACAGAGCGAGGTCCAGTACTGTCAAAACAACGCTCGCGCAGCTAACAACCCCACGACGTAGTTCATCTCCACGCGAAGCCCAGTGCTCGAGACAAGTCCAAGGCGAGCTGCCCGCCAAAGTGCAAGTGCATACGCGTGGTTCGTCGCCGAAACTCATCCTTCGCGGCCCACGACCACAACTTCCTTACTTCAAGCGATATATAAGACGGACAAACCGAGAAAGGAAGAGAGAGAGAGAGAGAGAGAGAGAGAGAGAGAGGGAGAGAGAGAGAGGGGGGGAGAGAGAGAGAGAGGGAGAGATAGAAGGAGAGCGAAAGAAAATTCATGCGTGTGCATGTGTGTCAGAAAGAGAACAGACAGACAGAGAGACAGGGAGAGAGAGAGAGAGAGAGAGAGAGAGAGAGAAAAACAGACAGACAGACAGACAGACACAGAGAGAGAGAGAGAGAGAGAGAGAGGCAAAGAGAAAGGGGGGTAATAGGAGAGAGAAAAGGAGAGAAAAAAAGATAGAGAGATAGAGAGAAAGAGAGATAGAGAGAGAGATAGAGAGAGAGAGAGAGAGAGAGAGAGAGAGAGTGCGCGCAAGAGTGCGAGTGAGGAGGATCGATCGAACGCGCCATTTTGTTGTCCGTGTCACCCGACATCTCGCAGTGCGCGCGACTTTCGGGTAGGTGCGAGTGCGGGAGCGGCCGCCACCCGGGAGAGCCGGAGGAGATCACCCGCGAGCATCGATTGAGTGGCGGCCCAAGGGCGGCAACCAGAGAGGTAGTCTCGTGCACTATAGGAGAGACTACACGGCAGCAGGCTGGGAGGACGGCTGAGCGAGGTGGTGGGTCCCGTCGTGGAGGAGGCCGTCGAGCCGGAGGATGTGACCTCGTTGACGGGACCCTCGAGGGAGGCCTCGATAACCAGAGTTCAACCGCCGCCCCCTAGGATAACGAGCCTTAGTCCGCCGAGGCCGCCATCGCGACAACCGCTCGTCGAGTCCCAGCCCCGGGTCCAGCCCCAGGCTCAGGCCCAGCGCAGGCCGAGCAAGGAGCTCAAGGAACCCAAGGAGCCCGCGAACTCGAAGGGCCCGCGCGAGTCGAGGGAGTCAAGGGATCCCAAGGCGCAGAACGAAAACATGGGGACGGTCCTCTCGTTCAGCCCGCGGGAGCGGCACGGCCCGGTACTGGCCTCGTCTAGCCCATCGACTCACCCGACCACCGGGCCCAACTTCACCCTCAACAACTTCAACTACGAGCACCTGAACAATGTGAAGAACCGAGAGAACAAGAGCGTCCCCCGCCCCCCCCCGGCCGCCCCCAACAACTCCCTGCAAAACAACAACATTAACCTCAACAACAACGACAACGCCCGCATCATATCGGAGAAGAACGCCCTGGAGAAGAACCTGAAGAAGAACTCTCTCATTATCGGGGCCCTCTCGTGGAAGAGATTCAGCACCATCAACAACAACAAGAAGAAGCTGGACAATAAGAACAAGAACATGAAGTTCAGGCAGCCCCTCGACAACATCGCCGTAACCGACAAAAATAAGAATATACAGACGCCCCAAGTGAGTTCGCACCTTATGATCTTTGACCCTTTCGAGCCCCACATGCTTTTACAACTGCGCACCAAGCTCTAGAGATTTCATGCACTTGGAGCATCCCGTCTTTATCGACAGTGCCCGATCATTGCATTACTTTATTATGACGTTTATTGCCTGATGCACGCACATATTAATGATAAATCTTGATCGAGGCGCGTACTCGATCTCGATCGGCGCACGCAAAGTTCCTTCTCGCGCTACTTCAATGAAATTCGACGGATGCGCAAAAGCCAATGAGAGTCTCTGTCGGTAATGGCGGCGCTTAAGCACTTACACTACTAGTCGATTACAACAGACTGCCATTCTATACCTGTACTGCGTGTAAAATGCTACTCGGTGAACGAATGATTGACAGGATTGTCGATTGCTCTGCAAATCGATAGCATTGCTTTTCCTCGACGTGCTTGCCCTTCGCTCACTCTTACTCCGGCTCGATTATTTCTAAAAATAACCGTCTAAGCATGCCTACTCTCGTACATTTTCCAAGTACACCCGAGCATCCAGGCTCCGCGTTCCCTTTAAATTCACCTCAATACGTAAACAGATTTAATTACTTTAAAACGAACTACCTGACAATAATTCAAAGCTAACGATATCAAATGCCAATGACATAATATCGTCGCGTCCTCCCTATCCCTATATTCATCCCAAGATTATTATCAATTTTCCTAGGACTAGACGACTTATACGCTTAACAATTATTTCATTACGAGCATATTTTATTATATTTTTTTTTTTTATCATTGCAACTTCCTCTATCTAGTACGAGCAAAATATAGATGGCAATTAAAATAGTTATAAGAGAGTTAACGCGAACGTCCAGGTGACAGCAACGCAATTAGTGGCTTGAGTTGTATGGAATGAAGGTAATTTGTTTGATTGCTTAATTAAGCTGAATTGCGTTGATCTTATTTAATGGCGAGGCAAAATCAAATACGATTTAACCGAAATTAATTAATATGTCGTTAAAAAGGAGGTCGGAATCCACTTGCTTTAATAAAAAACATAAATAGCAATACTTACGGAGGAGAAGACATTCGATAATGTTTACCTACATCATTATTACGGATTACGCGGGATCTAATTACAATATAACGCTAATTTACCCAATTGACGAATATTCAGCAATTCTAGGCTGCTTCTTTTCAAATGTGATTAAACACGTGTCGATTATTTAAAACTTACTCGATTCTTTTGATAATGTTTATCGTCGATTATAACTTACAAAATATACTGGAACAGTGTACTAATTTGTTTAAATAAATTTTTCTAAATACTACTGCTCAATTATAGTAAAAATAAGTTTATATATAATTTTGTATTGTAGGTTTGTTTTCATTATAATGCTTGCTTCTTCCAAACGCATTATTACAGTTACTAATTGATTACGTTTACCACATTAGTATGAGAATAATTAGAGAAAGTTTTGCTTAATGTATGAATTTTAATATATAAGTAGAGACTTAATATTATTAAACGAGCTTTAAAAAATTTTCTAATTGTTTTTATTTATGTCGATGCGAAAATAGCTAATCAAACAAAAATAAAGATTTTTTTTTTAATTTAATAATAAAATTTTTTTCCATTATTGTATAATATCCTTGAATAATATGATTATTCAAGGAATGTCACTCGAGATTTCTTGGTACTTTCATTAATCATAATGATATTTGGAAACATTATAAGAAGCCTTTCAGAAGCACTAAAAGCATGCTCTTTTCGCAAAATTTATGGTTCTACATCTCATAATTAATGGAATACAGATTTGCAGACCTAGAAGCTCAGCAAATTAAATTAAATTACAAATTTTAAAGGAAAGTTGATAATTAAGTTGAGATTATACTCCTTTTTATTGCCTCTTTGGGAAGTTACAGCATATATATATATATATATATATATATATATATATATATATACATAGTCTGGGAACTTTATTCCAATAGCACTTTCATGAAGTTTTGTATATTTCGATTCTTAACTGTATTTTACAACTCTGGATAAACGGGTAAAATATGTTAGTCTATGCTGAAATGCACAATTATTTTATGAAATCAATGTAATTAATATAATAATCTTTAAAAGAAATTAATTGTCTCTATATCCTATGAATGACATATACAACCGTTCTCCTCACAATTAAAACGATCGTCACGCCATTTCTAAATTAGCTAATTACCCCCCAAAATAATATCTCCTATTAGTTATTAAAATGTCATCAAACAGCTTGTCTGCCGTATACCTAGTAGTACACCAGTAGTTTAGCTGGCCATCCGAATCACTGCTATCGTAAACAAAAGGCAAGTCGGTAATAGCGAAAAATGGCCGACTTCGAACTCGGCAGTAGTAGCAACGAAGTCAAAGGTATGCGTTACCGAAACCCTCGTGCCTGCTGGTAGATAAATTTGGCACCGGGTTCTCTACATAAAGTAAATGGGCAAAAACACCCTCTCTTATTCGAATGCAGGTGTCAATGATCGCCCCGCCCATGAACACGTCCTTTTATTCGTATCAGACGAAGGCGCCGATCACGAACAACAACCACAGCTCGCACAATACGACGTGCGAGAAGCTCGTGCAGAAGCCCCAGCCCCCGGCGTCCCGGAAGACCGTCATCCAGGCCTCCACCTCGGAGCTGCTCAAGTGTCTCGGCATCTACTTGCAGGCCAAGTGCATCAAACTCAGAGACTTCCAAGCGGGGGACGCCGTCATGTGGCTACGGACGGTTGACCGCAGCTTGTTACTGCAGGGCTGGCAGGTGAGCGACATCGTCTACTTGCAACTCGCCTCCCTATCCCGGCCCCTACCAACCCGTCGCCCCGCGTTCCCCGACCACCGCGGCATTCGACAGCTTTGGCCGCTCGCACTCTGGCCTCCATACGCGTCATTTTCTTTTCATTATTAATCCACGAGCTTTTTATTACAAAGCCACCACCCGATCATTTTCTAACAGACAGAAAGTTTTGAAAGACCCTTGAGCGCTTCTGCTCCACGTATAGCGCGACGGTTGATCAATGAAGTCGTGCACAAAAATAGTTTAGATTTATTCAAAATTCCGCTTCGAGTGAGACCAGAAATATAAGCTTAACACGCATTAAAAATGGCATTGGCTGGTAGCTTGCTTACATAAATGATCAAACGTGTCATCGCTAGTCGGTCGCCTGTCATCGCAAAATCGGAATGCTTTATGAATTTCAAATGATTTCTATTGTTGAAAATTAAGTTGTTCGTGCATGGATTTGAATAATAATTACCATATCGTAAACTTGACTCATTGTCCAAGAGTTTTCATGTCCAAATGTTTAATGGCTTATTCGTTATAAATAAGTCATTATATCAAAATGCCGCGGATATATCACGTTTAATTATTCTCCATCCTTTTAGATCTTCTAATCCAATAAAGCGCAAACTGTGTAATATAATTAAAATTAACATATAGAGAAAGGTTCGGCGATTGCACTTTTATTGCGACGAACTATTTCGCTCGCGAGCTCCGTTTGTCCGATTCTATTAGAGAGACAAACAAATCGTCCTTCTTTGGTAGTACAAAGTATACGAAAAACTGGGTTGAGCACACTCTGAAAAAAAGAAAAAAAATGTTTTATGATCTCCTACGGGTATAATAAACGTATATGCTGCGTGATCCGACTTTCTATGAGGCATTCCTCTCACTCGCAAAAACTTTCTATTTATTCGTACTCGTGAATGCACGTTTCGAAGCCTCACGACACTACGTTTCTTCGAAGCGAGCTTACGCGTGCATGTGTGTTTTGTTTGTGTTGCGTGTATCTACGCTCGCGCTTGCGCACGGCAGATCTTTATTTTACTTCGGACACATTGATATCTCCAATAATGTGAATAGATGCATTCGCACTAGCACAATTCGCACAGCGAATGCGCAAAACTATAAAACTATAAAAGTACTTTATCTACTTATCCTGTGATGCAATCTTCTAGTCGTATGTATTAAACTTTACACTCGGCTTTCATATTTAACAAATAAATATTAATCCGCTGGTGCAGTACTGTGCTATATAATTTTATCAATACAAATGAAAATAGCATAAATAGACGAATTATTATTTAACCAATTTTCTATTTCATTCTATATATTTATTTTTATTTTTATTCATTATAACTACGTCATAAAATTACGATAAGTACATTTCATGGCATTCATGCTCTGCAATGCGAGTAAAGCCAAAATTTATATGTTCTAATCGAGCGATAAATCCTACTGTTAACTATCGTGATGTCGCACTTTGTATTTTATATCATTTAGGCATTCAATTATTTTTATTCTCGCGTTTAAAAGCCCGAATGACAAATAACTGATGATTGTATAAACATTCTGCTTCTACGATATGGATGATTTTACAAAAATTATTATATAGCCCTTAACCGTGTAGACCTCTACGACTATAATTTGGATATTTTAAAAGTAATCTTTTTCAAAATGTCATATCGATATACGTTTTAAGTAATTAAAATTATTACGGAAAATCTTTAAGACTGTATAATTAAAGAAGTTTTTTCAATTATTAAATAACTTGTTTTTTCTCAATTCAAATAGGACTGTAATTATAATTTTCCTTTTAAATTACCTTCCTATTAACTCACATGATAACTTTATCAATTAATTAATATAATGTATATAACTTCTTAAAGGACATTTTCGTTATTACATATTAATGTTAAACTCTGTTGATCGATTTGACAAATAATCATCTGATAAATTTTCGATATCGGGTTCAACCGGTCAATTATAAAATTTAAGATAACATGACGTATCCATCAGATAAGAGGAAGTAAACTTAAGTTTATCTGAAAATCGATATTCGGCCCAAATAAACGATGTTACAGGATGATTTCAAGTTCTATTTAACGTACGTCTTCAAATTAAAAAAAAAAACTGAATACCGTATACTGAAGTTAAATAAATTGTATTTTATTTATTATTTTTTCATTTTTTTAACGATCCAAAACATAAAACGCTTCAACTCTGCACCCGAGTAGGAAATATAAACTGGAATTATTATCCTTCGAAATGAATTCGATCATTGCATAGATTCTAGTTTGGTCAATCGCAAAATATCATGTGTGTGTAGGTTTTTTTAAGAGATACAGACGGCAAATATGTGCATAACCAGATGAATCAGCTAAAAAAAAAAAAAAATAAGCAAGGGTTGCTGGAAAGTGCTCCGATTGTTGAAAAAGAAAGTTGTCGGGGTTGATTCACTTTTATTCGATACGCGTAAGGCGTCCGTACACACTCAGCACTGCAGCCGTCTAGGAAAACAAGCGGCTCGTAACGAGAATCGTGCGCATGACACTCCAGTCAGAATATGTCACGTGGGGTGTGTTACTCGACAAACTCGACGTACGCCTATAGTAGTGACAGGAAGAGAGAGAAGGCAAGAGAGAGGCAAGGCTATATCGACTGCTACAACGTGCTTTTTTATTCTCAGGCATTTATGCTTACTGTTGCATTTTGTCGAAATAAAGCCTATTATACCAGATAAAACTGGATTATCAACGTACTGCAGATCTTCCCTTTCCCCTCGCGCACGCGCGCACACACGCCCACACACATATTAGTAGTAACTTATTCGTGTGACTAAGGATGTGAAGGTGGTATCTTATGAGATTAACAGTGGTATTCTAACCTTCATGTATTGCGGTATTTAACTTTGTTCTATTTAATTATTGACAAAACTGTTTTATTCGGCAAAATTGAAATAATGAAATTTTAAAGGATCGAACCAAGTCTAATGATGCCATTTCAAAAGTAAATATTTTTGATAAATTCGCATTTTCATTTACTCTATACGATTGCTTATTATTAAATTTAAACTCGAATTCGTAATATAGATTGATAAGTTTTACAATCCTTTTCTTAGGTGCAAGACTTTTTATAATAATTATTCGGGAAATTTATTAGAAAATTTACCCACGATAATTAGAAGAATGCAATTATTTACAAAATAAAAGCTTATATATTGTTTAGCCTTTTGCTTTTGGAATATATATTAAAGTCTTGATGTTGATTGACATGCTACATGAAATAATTCTTTCGATTGGGGGCGGGAGAGGGCAAAAAGTGAGTCTATCAATTCAGAAAACGGTGAAAGGTAATAAAATACTTGAGACAATCGCTGGGATTTTTATAAATATTTTATTTAATCTTGATATTGCAGTCGAGAAAGGATTCTCCTCTGTCTGTCTGGTTCTCCCTCCTCCTCCTCCTCCTCCTCCTCTTACGCACACCCTTGTGTACACGCACGTATATATAATTCAAGATTCACCCCGTCGCCGACCACCCCCCAACCCTTGGAGTTCTCTAATTAAAGTCTGCGGGGCTATAACGTCGTGCGCGTGTACGAGAAAGATAGAGGTTGAGTGCGAGTGCTCGAGGGGTTGGTGGATTGGGCGAAGGGAAAGAAGGGAGAGCGAAAGGGGCTCGCGATCAGCTCCGTACAACACTATATCTTCATCCCAGCGACCCCGACTCGTCGTTCAACATCAGCATCGCATATTTCTACAGGCATACATACATACACACTCGTTCGAGGTCTCACCCTTCCCAAAGTCACAAATGGGGCCTTCCCGCAGTGGCCGCGAGCCAGCCACGTGACCGCCTCCATTCTGCCCCTTACGATGTATAAGGGCTGCCTAATGTTTCCACCCCCTGCACACATTGCTCTACATCCTTTGGCAATTCTCGATATTTTCTTCGCTTTCATGCTGGCTTAGGCGAATAATTTTTCTTTTCCACGCGCTCGGCACTTTTAACCTGATCTGGCTCTTCAATTTTGCCATGCAGACGAATAAATGTAAAGGGAAATATTAGAAAAGGACTAGGGGAGTGACAAACGTGTTATGAATATTTCTTGGTCCGCGATTTACTGCAGCTCGCAATAGCAGATGTAGAATTAAGAAAAGTCAAACATAATCATCGATAATCAGTTGGCAAAATTTATTGCTACATAACTTCAACGAATACTCTATATTGTCATGGCACTTTAGTTTTACTAAAGTAGCATAAAAATACATTTATTCGATAAACTTAATTTTCTCATATGAAATAAAAAAGGAAAAATAAGCATTATCGTATGCAGGAAAAATTAATATTATTATTGGAATTTAATTGGCTTTAAACATTTTTAGTTTCATTATGATAATGATGATTAATAATTATGCTGATAAACATTATATATATTACAAAGTATGAGCGACTGAAAATAAACATCATTTTTCGTTAAAACATTATTAAAAGTTTAAAATATATAAGTAACTAGAATTTTGGAGGGAAAATGTTATGAATGTCAAGGAATTAATAACGAATGTACTTATTAAAAAGTGAAGCATTATAATTACAATTTAAAATTAAATTTATTATAATTACAGGCTTAAAAGGTTTAAATGAAATGATAATGTTCAAATACAGCCAGCCTCTGTTTTCTTTTAGATTTTCATAATTTTAATTTTTAATCTATTGCATTAGGATAGATGACTTTTTAAAAGTGAAAAATATTATAATAACTTTGTCGAGTAAAAATATTCGAATAGTTAATGAATATACGTCACTTTAGACGAAAGTCTGCTATTTTTAAATATGAAACGAAGTAAACAATAAATTTACGGATGCTTGCGAGGGAAGCGAAGTGGCAGATCTTGGGAAAAGAGGCAAGCAACTCCTTCAGTTGAGTGATGATGAAATTACAATATCTTTTATAAAGCTTTCACGTGATTCGTAAT